CCACAGAATACAAACTAAAAAGCCGAAAAGCAACTGGTAATAAATTTAACCTTCCGTATTCAGATTTTTCAGCTAATTGTTCGAAATCTTATAATTTTGTGATAGGAGACCACAACATTAAAAAAGATAACTAAAATTAAATTAAAAATGAGACAATACATATTTTATTTATTTTGATTAGATATTTTTATTTATTTATTGAAAAATAAATTAATCCTTCGTATTATGTTTTTTATTCGAAGGAAAAATCAAAAACACTTAACAAAACCGAAACACAGTGGCCTAATCTTAAAATGTAAGTCGTTTTAAAAACTAAGGCTCCGGCATCATAAAAGTAGACCTTTAAATTGGATAAATTCGAAAAACTTGAATAAGCCGAAACGCAGTGGCGTAATCTTAAAATGGAGGTCATTTTCAAAATCTACGACTCCGGAAACATAAGAATACACTCTTTTATGATAAAAATTCGAAACACTTAAAGAAATCGAAATGCGGTGGCCTAATCTTAAAATGGAGGTCGTTTTCAAAATCTACGGCTCCGGAAACATAAGAATACATCCTCATATGAAAAAAATCCGAAAAACTCAAAGAAATTGAAATGCGGTGGCCTAATCTTAAAATGGAGGTCGTTTTCAAAATCTACGGCTCCGGAAACATAAGAATACATCCTCATATGAAAAAAATCCGAAAAACTCAAATAAGTCGAAACGCGGTGGCCTAATCTTAAAATGGAGGTCATTTTCAAAATCTACAGCTCCGGAAACATAAAAATACACCCTCATATGAAAAATATCCGAAAAACTCAAATAAGTCGAAACGCGGTGGCCTAATCTTAAAATGAAGGTCGTTTTCAAAATCTACGGCTCCGGAAACATAAAAGTAGACCTTTATATTGGATAAATTCTAAAAACTTAAATAAGTCAAAACACAGTGGCGTAAACATAAAATGGATGTCATTTTCAAAATTTACTGATCGGGAAACATAAAAATACACCCACATATCGAATTTGTCAAAAAAACTTAAATGATTCGAAACGCAGTCACGTAATCTTAAAATGGAGGTTATTTTCAAAACTAGGTACAGGACAGCATAATACTAGTCCCTAAGAAATCCGAATAGGTACAATAAATCGATATCCGTAAGTGAAAATTCTACTTAGGAGAGCATAATAATAGACTTTCATATTGGAGGGGGGAGGGGATGGCCATTATTTAAAAAAAAATATAAAATTTACAAAAACTTAAAACATTAATTTGAAATGAAAACGGTTGAATTTGAATTGGAAAAGGTTTAATTTGAAATGGAAATGGTTGAATTGACTTGGAAAAAGTTTAATTTGATTTGGAAAAGGTTGAATTTGACTTGGAAAAGGTTGAATTTGACTTGGAAATAATTGAATATCACATAGAAATATCACACTGAAAAAATCTAAAATGTTAAAATAAATGGATATGCAACTGCGTAATCAATTTTTTTTTGTATTTTTTAAAAGCTATGCCGTCGATAATATAGTAAGTGGCCTTCATTTCGAAAAAAATCGAAAATTGACAAAAATTCTAAAGTTGAATTTGAAATGGAAAAGGTTGAATTTGACTTGGAAAAGGTTGAATTTGAAATGGAAAAGGTTTAATTTGACTTGGAAAAGGTTGAATTTGATTTGGAAAAGGTTGAAATTGACTTGGAAATTATATATAAAAAAGATTTAAATTGCTAAATATTACTGAATTAAGTTTTAGCGTCCACTTTGTTTTATCTAAACATTGGCTTTGTTAAATAAATCATTACAAGGGACACAACTGAATGCAGTTTATTGGGATGTGGAGTGGGGGCCCACGAGGGGTCTGGCCCACCATGTAACATTCCCTTCAAAACACCTCCCGACTACCGTCTACCGTTCCGGTCAATGGTTCATTATCTTCAACGAAAATTTCGAAATTCTCTGGATGAGCCTATTAATGGAGTTACAGAATTCTTCTGCTCAAAAATAAAAACAGTCAAGTGAAAATAATGAAGAAATCGAAGAATTAAAAAAAATTAGAATGTTCAATATTTCGCTTCCTGTTGTGTTGTGTTGTGTTATTAGATAATAGTGGTTAAATAGTTGACTGACATGAATAATGAGAAGAAGTATAGTTCGGGTGATCGGTCAAATAAGAAGGCAAAAATAAATGATAATATTTATTTTGTCATTTGTCGACGTTTCGACCTGAAGTTCAGGCCATCATCAGGGCTAAGAAAAGAACCAGATGATGGCCTGAACTTCAGGTCGAAACGTCGACAAATGACAAAATAAATATTATCATTTATTTTTGCCTTCTTATTTGACTGATCACCCCAACTATTCTTCTTCTCAAAATATTAGATAATTTTAAATTGTTTAAAATTGAAAGTATCCATTTTTTATCTATGTCACTTTAAAAAGGAGATATTTAGCATAAATAAAAAAAAGATCGAAATTTCTTTGATCACTTCAGAGAATCCATAAAGGATTAAAGGGCGGAAATTTCGATTTTTTTTCTATTCCGTACATACCTAAAAATATATAAAGGAAGTTCGAATTGTTCGACCTTTTTGCAAGGTAACCTGTCAAATTTGACTGGGCCACTTCAGTTTGTCATTGACACAGTTTTGTTAATATCATTTGTTGAATGAGTGGAGTTCTATATAATTAAATTGTTCAGAATTTAATAGCTTTTGTTTATTTTGTAAGAAAAATATAGATTATTGATATGATTCGAGCCCGAATTTTTGTTCAATTAAGCTTTTTATTTTTACTGATTTCAGATCGATTAAGAATAATCCATTTTCAAGAATTGAGCCTTCTGATTTATATAAATAAATTTTATTTGATAAGAAATTGCTTGTTTTTTGTTAGTAATTTACAAATTTCCATATTTTGCCAAAATCAATAAAATAATTGCAAGTTAGTTTGAAAATGCAAAGATTGAAACAAAATTACTAAAGAAACTTTTATAAAGTAAGTTAAGAACACATTTTATAAAATCTAATTATCTCAAAAGGTTTAAGTGGGTTTTTTTTTTTTTTTTAACTTGAGAGAAGCCAGCTAATCCTCAACAGTTCCACTCTCTTACATAAGTTTTGCTTCTCATCTACATACTAACTTCAGAATCATTCAAGTTTATTGTTAAGTGTGAACATTATTCTACTTAAAAGAAAATCCATTATGGCAAGACCACGGGCGGCGTGTGGGCTTCCGGGCTGAAGCCCCTCCCCCCCAAAAATGGTAAAATATAACCATGTTTAAAGAAAAAAAATATCTCTAAAAGTATTATTGTTCGTCTAATTACATTTAATAGGACTTAAAGAATCACTTAAATACAATTTCATGTAGGTAGTTAGTTTCTTTCTTTCTTTCGAAGTAATTATCTCAATACATAAATACAAAAAAAATCTATCGGGCTGAAGCCCCCACCTCCCAAAATTTAATCCTGGATCCGTTATTGGGGAAGTCTGTTATCCTGTTATTGTTCCAAAGTAAAAATTTCGAAATTTAATGAGTGCTAACATTAGTTTAGGTAAAATATAATACCACATTTCCAAGTCAATTTCAACATTTTCTTTTTGAAAACGACCTCCATTTTAAGATAATGCCACTGTATTTCGACTTATTTAAGTTTTATGACTTATTCGGTATAAGGATCTACTTACATGTTATCGGAGACGCAGAATATTTGAAAAATAATCTCCATTTCAAGATTAAGCCGCTGCATCTCAATTAATTAAACTTTTTTTTGGATTGTTTCAATACGAAGTTTCATCAATATGTTTTCGAGTATGAACAAATAAATATTATGAAGCCAAGGTTAAATTACCCACTAACACAAAGTAAAAAGCTGAAAAAGCAACTGGTAATAAATTTAACCTAACATTTACAGATTTTCAGCTGATTGTTCTGAATTCGTATCTTATAATTTTGTAAGAGGATAATACTAAAAAAGAAAACTAAAATTAAATTTAAAAATGAAAACATAGATATTTTATTTGTTTCGGCTGAAAAATAAATTAATCCTTCGTATTTTATTGAATTCGAAGGAAAAAAAACATGAACAAACCAAACACAGTGGCGTACTCTTAAAATGGAGGTTATTTTCAAAAACTACATCTCCGATAACATCTAGGTAGACCCTTATATCAAATAACTACAAAAAATTTAAATAAATCTAAACACATTGGCCTAATCTTAAACTGTTGGTCATTTTCAAAAACTACATCTCAGATAACATATTACTAGACCCTTAAATAGAATAAATTCGACAAAATTAAATAAGTCGAAGCGCAGAGGTGTAATCTTAAAATGGAGATAATTTTCAAAATCTACGACTCCGGAAACATAAGAAAACATCCTTATATCGAATAAATACGAAAAACTTAAATAAGTCTAAACACAGTGGCGTAATCTTAAAATGGAGATAACTTTCAAAATATACGGCTCTGGAGACATAAGAATACACCCTTATTACAGTGGCTTAATAATTATTAAGCCACTTTAACCCTTATATCCCCTCTTTCATGCTACAGTACCCTTTCTTTCAACTTTGTAGGATTGAACAGGTCTGTTTATCTTTTTTATCTTGGTTTTCTCCTTTTCTTCATCCTTCCCGTCATACTTTTTTCCATATCCCATCTCTATTTTGTATATATTGATACATTTGCTCATTCATCTTTTTTACATTATTTTAACTTTTTTTTTCTCTTATACGTAGTCAGTATATTTTGATAGATTTTACAATATCACAATTTTCTATTTACATCTATTATTTCCTTATATAACTTCATGTTCTTTTTCTCTGTTTTATTCTAAGTTTTGGCCTTCCAAAAGTATGGTTTATGTATTTTTTTAACTGCATTAAATCCAGGTTCTAGTTATGATCAATTCGATTAGAATAATCTTAATGGTGATTTTATTATTAATTTAAAAAAATATGTTAGATGCAGATAGAATTGCTAGACTTAGTTAGAACTAAAATTTCTTATTTAGGATTGCAGGAAAACTTATCAGATGTTTCACAACAATTTTAGGAATAGAATGGGAACTGAGAGGAGGATATGTATTAAAGAAAGATAGAGGAGCAGTAATTGTAGCCAATCATCAAAGTATTTTAGATGTTATGGGTAAATATAATTTTATTTATTAATATAAATTTACAACTGTATAAATAAAATACAATCAGTAAATATGCTATGAAACATGACAATAGCTTGTGAAAAAACTACCCATGGATCACATAACAATGATTATTTTAATTTATGAGGTCTCTTGACCATCTTCTTTTCCCCTCAGAGTGCTGTCTGGAATTGTTTCAGATGAAAGTACATGAGCTAGATTATTTGACTAGGCAAAGAGTTTACAATTAAAATAGGTGTATTTTGGACTACATATGCTGCAAACAGAATATTAAGATCTCTATGAATAATTTAACTTAAAACATAATAAGAAGCTGAAGAATTCAATGTAGGATTTTTTATTAAAAGGATTGGGTATGGGAAGAATTTTATGGTTTGTGGAACCCCAGAGTTTAATTGTGTTTTTCTGAATGGATCTGATAATTACATTTTTGCAACAACGTTTTGTGATATATTAAAAGTCTCTCAAGAAAATGTTGAAGTAATCGGAATCTATGAGGAGTTTCTTGTCATTTTAATCTTGTGCAAGGGCTCCAAGTAAGTGTTCTAATGTGAAGGATAGATGATCCACCACATAATGACAATGTTAAATAGTGAATTAGATGTTCAAAATAGAAACTGAATATCAGGAGTCCCCGGATTTAGATGTAGGAATGGGTACATGTATCTTACAGTGCTTTAACACAAGTTTTCTAGGATTTTGTACATGTAATAAAGAAATAGGAAAATGGGTATGGGTATAATGTTTATTATTAAAAATTTACAAGGGTCAAGAAAATAGATACAATATCTTGCATACAGGTGAGGAATAAAATAGATTTTTGAGGAAGTTGTTATCAGATTTAGGTTTGTAATAAGATTGATACCAGAAGCTTTTCAGGAAAGTAATTTCTAAATGATATTAACTATTTCTGAAGGATGGGACGCTTAAGGAGGAACAGTATAGTTAGTTCTGCTTCAATATTTTTATGATCTATTGAGTTATTGGTTGAATTTATATTGAGGAATACAAGTTATGAAAAGTTGTTCACCAAATTCCTTTGATTTGTCTAAAGTTTGAATTTTAAGATTTTGTTGTCAGTTTATTGCAACGAGTTTTGTCAGATGTATATCTGATTCTATGCCACTTTGCTCCTACCCAGCTTATTTCTGTTAATAATAAACAAGATGTGAGTTGGTTTCTGAGAAATTTCAATTTTTGGGGTGTGATTTGTTGGTTATTGATGCTGGTTTTAATAAATAATTTAATTTTACTGTAATCTTTTTTTTTCAAAGAATTATTAACCTTTCTTATATTCTTTCTTTATTATTGACCAATGTTTTGAAAACCATCTCTGTCTTAGGACCTATCCTATTTATTTACAGAGCCTAATTATTTATATAAACAATTATATAAATATTCATCACCTTTACACATATTGACCATTTTAAAGTATTATCACAAAAATCTGTTTTCCAAATATTGTTAATTTTAATTATTCATACATGATTATTATAATTAAGAACTTGAGATATTCCCGATATTCTCCTATCTATTTTCCTTAACCACTTTAACTTATACGTAAAATTAAAATTAATAAAACAGTATAAACTAATTTTAATACAATGAAAAAACAAAATAAATTATACAATAAATATATCAATGTATCCAAAAAATGAATAAACTGATTGTTAATTGTAAAATTAAAAGATTAGAAAATATTAATGACTGCTGTTAATCTATTGGCACGTTCCACATAAAACAAAGTAATAGTATTAACAATATTCAAACAAAACTAGATTGGTTTTAGATAACAATAATAATTTATATTAAACAACAGAAAGAATTAAAATTTAAAAAAAAATCACATAATACTACCCAATAATATTGAAAAAATATTATCTTTATATAAAAATTATATTCTTGATAGAAAATTTAGAAAAAAACATATCAGAAAATAGACACGTTAGAAAGTCATATAAATGCCACGAGAAATAATTTATAAAATATCATATATAAATACATTTTAAAAATAAAAAATAAAACATAGATATTTAAATTAAACCATAAAATAAAGAATGACTAAAAATATATTTAAAAAGTAAATATTTATCATAAGGTCAGATGAATTGAAAACAAATAATAATGTAAAAAGATGATTGTATAAAAAAAAGAAATGGAAGAATTTTTTATGACAAAAATACTTATAGAATATTAATAAATAATCCAATTATTGAACTAGCTAAAGTTAATAAATATAAATTTTTATGTATTAAACAATAATTTTTTAAGTTTTTGATTTTAACATTCTTTAAAATGGATACAATGGGACCATAAATTGTTAGGCAACTAGAAAAAAAGAAGGGCAGGAGTAGAGTGAAAAAGGGAACCAGGAACCACCTTTAATTTACAGTGAAAGTATATGCGTTGTATTGCATAAAACAAACTACTGTGATATGATTTTAAAAATAAAATGGGAACTGTATTCGTATAATAACAGGAACAATTATTTGATGATGAGATTCGACACTCATACGAGAAACCGGTTATTTAGCTGTTATACCTGGACTTAAAGTAACAACAATTATAAGAAAAATGTTTTTATCTTTTAATCACTGTGGTTGATCACCACAAACATGATAAACTTTCAAATCAAGTTCTCATGAATACCATTAATGTTAGATTTACAGCTCCTGTATTGACGAATACTGAAATCCGATTGTATACAGAAAAAAAAAACCTGTACCACTACAACCCATGAAGGATCTTGGGTCCAGTAATATTTAAGGAAAGCACTGTTTCTTGGTGTAAGGTTGTGGAAGGAGGTGATTTGACCAAGGACATGATTTGGCCAGGTTTTTTCCCGTAATCAATTATTTTAATTAAAGGTACTCACTTTATAGAGGCTGGGTGTACCCCAGGAGGGTGGGTCTACCTATCCAGGGTCGCTCCATGGCCAATGGAACTGAATAAATAATTTTTCAGCCATGAGCCAGGATTTGAAACTGGGAACTTTAGCATTAGAAGCTCAGTACCCTACCCACTGAGCTATTGTATACAGAAACTTGGAGAAAAGTTCATATTGGTTAACCACAATTGAATAAACTAGCCAGTTTATTCAAGCCGAACCTACTTCCTCTTTTGAGACAAAAAAGTTCACTGAAGCCTCGATTGTAATTTATTGTGGCTGAAATTTTTAGAAGAGTTTCATAATGTAACTAAACTAGTTAAATACCTAATTCATGAAGCTGTTTTTGAAAGATTCAACATCCTTTTTGCCTAGCTATTTCAAAAGAATTGTATTGTGTACCATATATATATAAAATAACTCAAATAATTTAACATAGTCTTATTTTCTTCTATGTATGAAATAAATATTTACAAAATGTAAATATTTACCTCAACCTGAAATTACAGGAAGATTAGAAAAGTTATAGCAAGAGTTTATTCTTCAACTATTCCATTTATATCCTAGTTACTTTATTTTTATTTTTAAGCTATTTGTTCATTTATAGTTATATTACTTGTGAAGTAGCCTTGTACCAACTGGGTTTTGTTGAGTATAGATGTGTACTTTGGAACATTTAATTTGCTATTTATCAATTTCCTTTTTTTATTTAATTAACACATTTTTATCATACTATCCAAGTATATATAAGGTATGTGTATTTTTTTCTCCTTTTATCTTTTCTAATCAGTTGTTTAATAAATCCTTCTTCTTCTTCTTTGTTTATGCAACCCGTTTCCTTCAGTATGTTTGTGGATGTCTTCGTGAGATATCTCTAATAAATTTAGTTTTTTCTTTCTTTCTACATTTATATGATTTTGTTTTTCATTCCTGATGATGTCTGAACAGCTGAAACATTGACGGGTTTTCTTATTCTGTAACAACATTTTGGAGACATCAGGTTGTGTGATTGGAATTTTTCCATTTTGGAAATTAATTACTTTTTATTTTATTACTAATGTTCAGACTCTGTGGAATTATCTCTCTTGATCCCTGAAAGTTCTTATTACTTAAAAAGACATAACAGGCAGGAAATTTGGATCTTAATATAAACTTAACCAGGGATGGCCAAATGCTACTCTGAGTACTGAGTACCAAGTATTTTTCTCAAATACTGACTTTTGGTTATTACCAAAGAATTTAATTAGTAATTCAGTTGATGTCAAATGATCAACTAAAGTAGTGATTGAATTCTTTGGTACTAACCAAAAGTCAGTATTTGAGTAAAATACTTGGTACTCGGTACTCAGAGTAGCATTTGCCCATCTCTGTCCCTAACTACTCTTTTATAATTTATCATCATCAATGGGCATTTTTAACTTGACTGAGTCCATTTAGAGCTATATTCACCATATCCTGATATATTATAATTTAACCATCTCATTAAAATTTCTACTAATCCTTCGGTCAAGGTAAATCTAGGAAAAAAAATTATATAGATTACTTTCTATCCTTAGACTAAGTTAAGTGTGATTCATCTTTTACTGGAGCTTTCCTTGTCCTGAGACAAATTTAGTCTATATTAGATTGTAACCAGGTTAACCTAGTCCAGAATTGCACTGAATTTCTGATATAGCAGCCTACTCTAAATTAATCTTTGTTTGACAGTCTTAAATAGTAACTGATACCTAAATACTATAAATATACTATGTGGAAGATAGTTTAATTTTTTTAAATTGAAAGTGATGATTCCAGGTATGTTCAATATTTGGGATGTGATGGATAAATGCACAGCAGTAGCCAAAAAAGAGCTGCTATATTTTGTACCATTTGGACCAATGGCTTGGCTCGGAGGGTTGGTCTTCATAGACAGGGTAGATCCAAAATCTGCTAACAACAAACTAAAAGCTGCAGCTCACCTCTTGCACAGTAAAAAGGTACAACGATGTGGTCTATATTTATATTTAACCATATCAGGATACAATAGACTGTAATTAGTATGGAAAATCAGTCTTTGTTTGTCGCATTTCTCTAGGTGGCTTTAAACAGGCTTAGTGTTTCATTAATCTCCATCTGGAATTCACCTAGGTTTTCTAATTACAGAATAGGCTGTCTATTTACAAAGTACAGTAGAGTACATGTAACTGATTCAGCCCATTGAATTTATGATCATCTTTATCACCAATATAAATATTCCCTTCAATTTATTGAAACAAATTTTAGGATATCCATTAGTTTACGTTTTTGAGAGTTTTAGAAACCAAGGCAGTTCTAATTTTTATTTTGCAACAGAGCAATATTAAATGGCATTAAATTGTAGCAATGAGGATACTCATTGCCATTGTATTATTTATTTTTATCCCACTATTTGAGTTTTGATTTAGCACAAATTGTGATAACCAAAAAGTTTTTATAAATGTTGGGATCTATACTCCATTAGGAGGCTAAAAAAAAGTCATCAATTATCAATGTTTAATGTTTAATAAAAAACAGAACTTTTAGATCGTTTAGTAGCCTAAATCTTCCTAAAAATGGTTAAAAAAATTATTTGTATTTTCTATACATTTAAGAGGCAAATGCCTTAAAAAAAAAAATTGTTTAAAATGACAAAATATAGGATAATTCATGTTTTCCAGTTGAAATTTTCTTTATGCTACTGTTTTTTTTTATTGACTAAATTAATGAAGTTTTATTCAGAGATTAACTAACTCTAAAAATCTATCATACCATGTAATTATTATGAAATCTCCTACAGTAGGTTTCCACATAAATTCTGATTACACTGGAATAATTTAAAATAATCTCTTAATAACTATGCATGTGACCTCGATTTTACTCAATTTATTCAAAAAATTAAAACTTCATAATAATTGTAATAAGTAATTAAACCTTGGTTCAACCTTGAATGTATTTTGGGTAAGAAGCGTGTGTGAAATTCGAATTAGAATAAAAAGGTGGAAAATAATTATCATAAAAATGTAGATGATAATTATATTGCTGCTAAAAAGAAAATTAATCACTCAATTTATTGGAAGCTGTAGGAATTCGAGTGTCATGCATGATTGGTTAATTTACATGATTCAAAAACATGTTGCAAAGAAATAAATTAATTTAGAAGTATTTACAATCACTAGCGGATCCAGGATTTAATTTTGGGGGGCTTCAGCCCGAAATCTTATTTTTTCATAAAAATAACAATAATTACTTTGGTAAATAAGAAAGAAACTAACTACCTATATGAACTGGTGTTTAAGTGATCCCTAAAGCTCTTTTAAATGTAATTATACCCTAAGAGATCATTTTTTTCGATAAAACATGGTTATATTTTACCATTTTGGGGAGGAGGGGCTTCAACCCGAAAGCCCCTCTCCCCTCCCCCCGTAGATCCGCCCATGGTTCCAATCAACTCTGACCGATTTTAATTCAGTGCCGGTCATAAGGCGAAGCAACGGGTGCAATTGCCCCAGGGACCCTGGGGAACAACATAAAGGGAAGACCGTTGGAAGCGCTGATCATCCATCAGTGGCGCTTGCCACTTGTTAAGAATTAAAAAATATATGTATTATAAAAAACGTATTAAAATTTCAATTTAAGCCAATGAATAAAGCAACTGTATAAAAGAATTGTTGAATGAAACAAAATTCAAACATTACATAATATAAAACAGCTTAAGAAATAAAATATTTTTGTTTGAGGGCAGATGACTTCATTGCCCGGGCGCCCAATGTCTAAGGCCGGCACTGGTTTGCTTATCACTTCTGTTCCCCCCGAGGATGGAAATTCTGTTTTTCAAAAAGCCGAAGCAGTCTTGATAACTTGGTTACCTTAAACAACATAACCATCTTTTCCTCGCCTTATCTGGGATTTTTTCCGGGTCAGGGGAGGGGGCGGGGGATTAAAGTCAAATTTAAAAGCTCTTCCGGCACCGAGACTCAAACTTGTAATTATTTTATGACATAAACTTCGGTTTATAAGGTTACCGAGCAACGCGCATTTTGTATACCCGTTAGCACACTCCGCCCTAATTCAGAAACAGTTGGGATTGATTGCACGTCCTTGAGGAGACTTCAAGATTCTAAAAATGTTCATATGAACTACATATTGTTAGATTTTTCCTCAGAAAAGGAAATTTGAGGTTTGTGCTAGTTTTTTAAAAGTATATCACGTTTCTTATTGAATAGGAAGCGATAACTAAACACCCAGTACGGTGAGTGGGGGCAGGAGATCACACATTTTTATTTACCATCCTAAAATGAGCGGAAACAGGAGAAAATAAAAATTATAGACGATATAATATATTAATTTAAAACTGATTGAAAAGTAGGATGGTTGGGGTGATCGGTCAAAATAAAAAATAGTAAAAGTAAGTAATTATATAAGACCACGTGGTCTTACCACTCTTCTTGGATTGATCAGCTCTGATGAAGGCCTGAACTTCGAACCGAAACGTCGGCAAAAGTAAATTGATACGAAAGTAATTGATACCTAATTATTCAAATACAATATCAGATCTAGAATTATTAGACTACAGTAAATTTATTTAAGGCTATAAACATATGCTTTATACATCCATGAAATGATTTGATATTTCACTTCTTCTTTCACAAAAATACAATGAAATAGTTGTTTAAACAATGGCATTGCCTTGGTTAGGTAGATTTTAAATACATTTTCCAAACTTTTTTTATTAGTTCTTAATGATATTTACAACTGTATTATATAAATACATCTAGTAAATTTGAACTATGGATATAATGACATGAAAACACTTGCTGAGTAACTACCCAATAGTAGCACTCTAATGATATTTCTACATTAGGGGATCAGGCCATCTTCTTTTCAGACGCCTTGGAGAGTTATTAGAAATTGAAGAGGAAGCAAGGTTTTCAAACTTAAAAATAATTTAAAAGTTTACATTTAGTTATATTAGTAAATTTCATTTAATTTCCTTGAGAACATGTGGATTAACGTCAAATAATATTAGTTTTCAAAAATATTATTTATAATTTTTTTACCACTCTCCGTTACCTTCTACAACTTTTATATATTATTTTTTTCTAAAATTCTCCACTTTCTAACGATATGTTATAAATATACCTTCTGACAAGTATTTCCGGAGATTCATTTTCGATCTGGATAAGCATTTTTATTTTGTCTCTTCTCTTTATTCACTTATCAAATTCTTTCAAAAGTTACATTTGATATTTTTTCGTAACTTTTAATAATGTGAGATGATTAATTATCTAAAATAAACCATATCAAACGTATACTAGAGGAAGCCGTATGTGAACATTCACACCATATTTACAAAATCAAAAAATAAATAAGGTAATTTCAAAATAATATACAGTGAAATAAGAGCAAAATAAAATATTATAATGAAGGAAGAAAATATAAATAACAGTAACAATAAAATAAAAATAAATGAATAAAATAGAATTAAAATGTATTTAAAAAAAAAATAAATAACATCTTAGACGCAGGCATATCTATTTATACTATTTACAATCGGCCATGGGAACTCCGAACCAGACTTGTCCCCCCACTTGTGGAGGGAAAAGCGAGGCTTCAGCAGATCCCTGCGGTTCTCTCTCAAGCACTTCACTGTTATTAAAAGCCAGCGGAGGCTGAGTAAGGGCGCTACAACCACAGAAACTCATGACTTGAGTGGAGAATTTGACCATTGCCAGAACTCCAATATATACATGTTACAAAAGGTCACGGGGCCAATGCCGTTTTAACCTGCGAGGAGGATTGTAGGGATGGGTGGTACTAGATAGGGACTGTGCTACGGGATTAGGATGATGAGTAAGGTTCTGAAGAAATTTGGAGAATTTGTTTGGGATAAGATCAAGAATAAATGGAATATTAAGATCATTATGCAGGGTTTTATTGGTGACATAGAAGATAGCATCGACTCTTGTACGGAAGGCTTCAGGCTGGAAGGATTGAATGAGTTTGATGTTAGAAAATGTGGTTGTCCCCCACAGTACTAGTCTGTAGGTCCAGACGGGTTTAATATTGTCTTGTAGATCAGAAGTTTGTTTTCAATAGATAGTTTAAATTTTCAATTAAGTAGTCTATATAGATAGCCCTAACGTCGGTTAGGTTCCTGTCTTTTCAGTCTAGTATGCGGATTTCACGTTAGTTGTCTGTCTAGGAGAAAACCAAGATACCGGACTGTGTCGGAGAAGAGAAGCTGGTTGGAATTAAAGTAAACTGGTGGACAGGAATTAAGACGATGGGTGAAGGTTATATGTTTACATTTGGGTTCATTGACTTTGATGCGCCAGTGTTCAATCAGGGATAGGTGCCGTTGCAGGTTTATGGACGCTGTTTCAGGATCTGAGTCAGAAGATAGGATAGCAGTGTCATCAGCGAAAGTTGCCAGGAGTGTATCGGAGTGGACGGGAATGTCAGCGGTATAGATGATGTAAAAGATGGAACCCAAGACGCTGTCTTGAGGAACTCCAGCCTCAATTGAGTAACAGTCGGGAAATTCTGTACCACAGCGAACTCGAAAGGAGCGGTCGGAGAGATAGAATTGGAGTATTAGATATAAGGACTGTGGTAGGTGGGATTTGAGATTGAAGAGCAGTCCGGCGTGCCATACTCGGTCAAAAGCTTGCACTATGTCTAGAAATTCACTCGAGAAAAACTGCTTGTTTTCTAGGGCTGAGGATGTGTGGTCAATAACTCGGAGTTCTTGTTGGACGGTTGAATGTTGGGAAGGGAATCCGAATTGATGGGTAGGGATTTTTCGGGAATCTATTATTGGTAGGATTCTTTTCAATATGATGATTTCAAAAATTTTTGAAAGAATTGGGAGTAGGCTAATTGGTTTATAGGATGATGTATTATTGGGAGGCTTGCCTGGTTTCTGGAAAAGAATGATGGTGGAACGTTTCCATAAGAGAGGGAAGTGGGTAGTTCGCTAGATACAATTGTATATATTCGTTAGAAACATGATGGCTTTCCATGAATATTAACCAATGATGACAAGAAAATGGCTAATAAGATTTTAAGATAATAAATTTACCATCACTATCACAAACATAAGATTATAATTGAAGAACATAAAAATTATTAACCAAAGAAATCTCTAAGATCAAAATGACGAATATTTTCGTCAGGAGTGAAATAAAATAATACAAACTATAATACTTTGGATGAAAAAATCGGTAAAAAAAAAAAAATTAAAATCGGTTAGAATGATTTTTTTACAATCATAAAGGCCGTTGCAAAGGAACAACAGCTCAAGGTCTTGAAAAATGGAGAACAGTCGATCATCCATCAGTCGTTTATCCATCTGTTTCTTTTAACCGTCAGTGTACTAACAGAAGTGAGTTTGTAAGTTATGCAGTGATTACCTAAAGGAAAAATATTCACAGAAAGCTAAAACAATACATCGTACGATGACGTTCAACAATAAAAAAAAAAAACAATTACAAAATATTCCCACAATTACTTATTACATAAAAATTATTCAAGAAAGTTTTTTTGTTTTTTTTTTACTTGACCCCGTGCGATGTTGTATTGAGATCAGGATTTGGGCGAGGATTAAATATGACCTCTTATGATGTTAATTAATTAATTAACCTCAAAAAAAGTTAATTATTTCATACTAAGTTTGACCATATAAATTGACCATGTCCACAGCCCTCTAAAGACATAATTCATGATTCTATGCAAGGCGACAAAGAACGAGGAAAACTGTTAGAATAATGGATTTATAAGAAATCTTTAAACTAATAAATCATGTGAAATTAGAAGTTTTTTAAAAGTAAAATAAATATAAACCTTTAGTTATTATTTTTTTTTTACCAGAGATGCTTAGTATACAATTACTTAATAAATTTTACTTTTTATTAATTAAAATATCAATAAAAAAGTTGCTGTTTTTCCAAATAATAAATAAATAATAATTATCAATGCACCAATGCTTTTTAAACTAATCTAAATTATGGTAATCGATCCTTATTATTTAAACGCCCAACTAAATGCTTCTATCTCCTAACCATTTCATTGAGTGGTGCTTTTTGATTACTGTCCTGCGCTGCTGCCATCTGGTTGTGGACCCCCAAACTCCTCGCATCCTTAGCCACACAGTCAACCCATCGAAGTCAGGGGCGGCCAACTTTCCTTCGGCCATCGATTATACCCGTCAGTAATCTTTTAGAAGTTTCTTGTTCCTCCATTCTTGGCCACATGTCCAATCCATCTTAGATGATATGGTTTGATAAGACTAACTACGTCAGTCTAGCCAAAGAGGTTGTAAAACTCTTCATTTGTTCTTCGTCTCCACTCTTCATCAACTAACACCGGTCCAAATGTCTTTCGGAGGATCTTTCCTCTCAAAGATATTTGCTCAAATGTGTTCAACTTCTGAAACGTACATTTTGCCATTGCCCATGCCTCCGCTCCATACGTAAGGACTGGGCGAATCAGAGTTTTGTACAGAGAAAACAGTTGGCTTTTTGATAAACAGTTTATTTAACAACAACATGTTCTATTAATTTTAAAATGTTTCGCACTCACATGTAACATTGTAGTATTACTTTTTGACCATAGTAATATATTTATTATATATTATATTTTATCAGTTTGTAAAATTGATTATATTTTGATCAGCTTAAAATCAAATGTATCATTCATCACTGTTTTCATTTTAACTTCTTTTATTTTATCGTTTAATTTATTCTGTTCATATTTATTTCATTTTAATCTCTTAAATAGTTCTGAATCTTAATTTTAATATTTGTGCTGAATTACCTTTATTGAGCCCCGATGAAGACCTGCAAAGTGAATCGAAATGTAGGTAGACAATAAATACGATTTTTTAATTATTGTTTATTATTGCTTTGACTCAACTTATCGTTCCCCAACTGACATTTTAAATTATATCTGTTTTTTTTTTTAATTTTTAGAAATATATTTCTTTAAAGAAAGAATAGAAATATTTTAAAATGATCGGTTCTGTTTCTATAACATTGGATTCATGAAATATGTTTTAGGCGAAGCTGTGGCTTTTCCCTGAAGGGACAAGGAATAAAAAGGGAAAAGTTCTTCTACCATTCAAAAAGGGTGCATTCAGAGTAGCTATTTGTACACAAGCTCCTATCATACCAATTGTATATTCTCCCTATTACTTCATTGATTCAGCAAATAAAACGTTTTCAAAAGGTAAAGTATTAATTAGAATATAATTTTAATATTTATAAAATAAAGCCGTAAGTCGCTCCAATATCATTAATTAACGTATCATTCAACGACTCGACGATTTTAAATATCAAGCTCGAAAATAATGAAATACCTCTTTGATTTTGGTTTGATTCTTCGGCGCACACTTTCCATTCTGGTTGGGGGAGGGGAGGAGTCTTAAAAAAAAATTGTCTCGGAGCTTATATATAAATAAAAATTATGAAGGGTAATTAACATAATAAGCGTAATTATTGAAAAAACGAACAATATAATAATAAATTTATTACGAACCAGTGATAAATAGATCTTTAGCCAAAATAATCAAGAACGTACCCGATCGAAATTCAGAAATCGTTTTTAAAACAGACTGGAAATTATGCGTTATTATAGAAAATATATAATTATAGAAAATTATAATTATAAGTTCGAATTCATATACATATATGCATCCAAAGAAGGAAACAATGTAAGATGTGCTGTAACAATTAAGGAGAATCCACTACTATTTAAACTGTCTGGTGAATGCTCCATTTTTACTGAAGAGGCGATTACCATCATGAACAGTCTTTATTTTATAAGAGATTCTAGAAAAAAGACTGGGTTTTTATAACTGACTTATGGAGTATCTTAGCCATCGACAACTCTTTCCCAAGTAATTCTATTATTAAAAAAATAATAAATGTATGGTAGGAAATAAAAAACAAAGGCATGTCAATAGTAATCGTTTGGTTGCCAGCCCACTGCGGCATTGCGAGAAATGAAAAAGCTGACCAAACAGCACATTTAGCAAGGAGAGAAGAAGAAACGGCGGAGATAAGATTAAAGAAAGTTACCTCAGAACACGGGCGGATCTAAGGGGGGGAGGGGCTTTCGGGCTGAAAGCCTCCCCCCAAAATGGTAAAGTATAACCATGTTTTATCGAAAAAAATATTTAAAAAGTATCTCTTAAAGTATTATTGTTCGTATAATTACATTTAAAAGGGCTTTAGGAATCACTTAAACACCATTTCATACAGGTAGTTAGTTTCTTTCTTTTTTTCTAAAGTAATTATTGTTATTTTTATGAAAAAAAAAAACTTTCGGGCTGAAGCCCTCCCCCAAAAATAAATCCTAGATCCGCTAGTGCCTCAGAAGACTGGCTATACTACGCAAAAAAAAAAAAAAAAAAGAGACTACTAACAGAATGAAAGAAACAATATAAAAGGAAATAATGCAAAATGACAGAAATAAAACTTAATTGCGACAAATGATTCACAAGCCACAGAAGTTCAAGGAGAGAAGAAACTTATGGTTTGCCGACTGAGGATAAGACACTACCAGTTTGCACATGGCTACCTTCTGAGAGGACTCGAAGCGCCCACGTGTAAAAAAATGTAATAACGTTCCACAAACAGTGAAACTTTAAATAAAAACTTATTGGAAGAATGTCCTCAATTTGAAAATTACATACAAAGAACAGGCTTAGCCAAAACATTACGAGAAATCCTTCAAGATACTGAAGAAGAAATCAATACTTTGTTTAAATTTTTAAAATTAATAGAGTATTATAAAATAATATAAATAGTAATTAAACGCTAATGACCCTTGAGGGTAAAGACGCGAAAGGGAGAGAAAAAAAAAATAATAAACATGTTTATATATTAGTATTTTTTTTTTTTATGTACGAATATATTTGTAAATATGTTCACAAAGCAATAGAATATATTAGGTATTTTTATTGAAAGGTTTGAGGCAGTGAGATGAACTCGCGATTCTCCAATACTTCACATTTGCGACGGGAAACGTGATAAAGTCTTTACGTAAAAATGGAAGGGATGACAATAACGAATCATTAAATCCCAGGATATGTTGCTTCATATAATCTTCTTTGAATATAAACTAAAACTTTAATAATAATAACATATGGCGTGGGAAAACACTTGTGTAGCTACTTCTAGACCGTTGCTTAGCCATCTAGTCGATTTTTCCTATTTTCTTAATTGATTTTAGTTTACACATTTTACTCGTTCATGTATATTAATTGCTATTGATTTTGATTATATTTATGTTCTCCAAAATATTGAGATATTCTCGCCCAGATATATTTTCATCACTCTCTTCGCCCCCACTTCTTCCCTCCCTAGAAGTCTGCGCCTATGGTTTGATTGATTAAAGAAGAGGGAAATCATGCTATGAGAAAGATATTTGGTATTATTTAATTTGCTCAAAAATTGATAAGGGTAACCGAATAGAAGGTAATTTGGAACTCGGAGTCAAAAAGAAGCATAATAATTAAGATAATATTAAATAAGGGTAACAAGTAAGAAGTACAAAATATATATAGATAATATATATATATATATATATATATATATATATATATATATATATATATATATATATATATATATATATATTATATATATAATATATATAATAAAAAAAAACTAAAGCAGAGATATTAATGTAGAAATGTACCTCTAGATACGTGCTTATAAGTGTAAGTATAACATTTTACTAATTATTCTCCAATTGCCGTTCGGAATGAGTGCCGATAATCAGGAACATTCCAATTCACCTAGATTTTCTACTCTCTAGTTTTCATGTAACTAAATGATATTAATTAAATATACCATAAGAATATTGAGAGACATTGGTATGAAAAGATAATAAAATTTTCTTAAGAATGATTCATTAGTTTTTTCTCAAATATTCTAACATTTTTTCATTCTATATCACAGGTAAGATGGTGATATCAGTTTTGGAAGCTATTCCCACTGAGGGTCTTACACTCGATGATATTGATTCACTTACAGAGAAGATCCATAAAGTGATGGCAGATGAATATGAAAAGCTTCACAAGGAAATCAACGACCTACAACAGGACGTTCGGAATAAAAATAATATTTAAAACAAATATTGCTCAATTACCGATACTTATTATTTATAATTAACCTTATATAAGTGACTTTCTCACTTAGGAAAGCCTCATGTCCACCCATAATCATTGACAATAACCCAGTGCCTTCAAAAAATTATGTACGGTACCACGAAAACTAGTTATACAAAAGACTTACCTGGAACATGCATACTAAATTAAAAACACAACAACTGACTAGACGATATAACCAACTCTCACATCTTCTTGACTACAGATCCTTACCGAACTTACGAAACAAGCTACTGATCTGCAACACTATACTGAGACCAATTTGGACATACGGAGCAGAACTCTAAGGTTTGGCAAAACAAACACACATAAATAAAATACAAACAACACAATAAATATTCTACGAAAAATTGTCAACGCACCTTGGTACATTTCGAATAACAATATACACAACGACTTAAACATCCTAACAGTGAAATCCTACATCCACAACAAATACAGTTCATTTCATTCTTCAACCCTAAATCACATCAATCCATTAGTCCTTTCTATTTCCTGCTCCCTGTTACATGGTCGATGAAGACTGAAAAGAAAATTGCCAAGGGACCTACTCCTACATTAACGACAAGGGAAAAAAAATAATGAAGCAAATTCGTAGCTAATGGCTAATACATCAGATTTGCTAGATGCGCTGCAGTGCAGGTGCAAATTTCATAAGATGTTAAAAAAAAATCTAGATACAAAAGTATTTCATTTTCATCTAATTTAAAAATTAAATACTTTCTTTTGTGATTCTTGAGTATTTAAAATGTCATTTGAACACTGGGTTTGTTCAAAGATAGATATATTTATAATAATGTGTACCAAGACTTACTATTATATTACCAGGACAATATTGTCCGATTAAATGATTTAATTTTAAGTAAAATGAAAGTTTACTAATTAAAAGTTTATTTTTGTTCATAGTAATTATGAATGAATGGGATTAGTTATATTTATTTGTTTTGTATAGTTTTATCTTAAAGTTTGTTATTTCAATTATTTAGTATTATTAATATTCCTATATATGAGTTATTTTTAGCAAATGTGATATGTATCAAGATAATATGTTTTTATAATATATTTTTAAAAGAAACATTACGTTGAAAATCATTAAGTTTTACCCTTTCTTACTAGAGGATCTTAAAATCCCCACAATATATAATTATATACCCTTCCTTGCCTTTCCGTTACACGGAATTTTGCAGGGATGACATATCACAAACGTGTAGACCATCCCTGCTATTAAACAAAAAAAGTATTTTAACACTTTTATAACACTATTATTTTTTCATAATTTACATTTCACTATAAAACGCTTCATATTTTCCATCAGTCAGACGGCCTTCCATGAGGTCCACTTCTTCCCCCATATCCAGCTTTCCACCCGGGTAGACGGGTAGTTCTGTTCCGTCACTAGTTGAGGAAATTCATTCTCTGTGAATCTCAGTCATATTCAAAGGCGATGCAGTTGACTTTGATGCAGTCTTTTCCAGGGCTATGCAACTTATGCAGGTTTATTGCTGGTTGATGCTGAGGTTTTTCAATTGTTTCTTTTGATGATGTACCTGGCTGGGTTTCATTTTCTTCGGAGCTGACAGGGGTTATTGGAGGTGTTCGACGAAATTGAAACTTTTGTTTGACTTGTGAAGAACGAGTAGTCGAGCCTAACGGTCGAATTCTCTTGATAGACGCTCTACTAGAAATGGCCTGATGTTGATATCGCATAAAATAAATAAAAAGGAAGAAATACAAAAAAAAAAAAATGTAATTTATAACTGTAAACAGTAAATGTCAATTGTTGTTATTTATCCTTGACTTGTTTTGAATTAATAATCTCAAAGATTAGGCTGGAAAACAAGCAAATTCTGAGAGCCGAGGTAGAAACACAACCTTTCGCATCAGCTAATCGAGCAGCTCCATATGATATAAATAAAAAAAACTGAAATAAGTCGAACCACTGTGGGATTCAAAATGGACATAATTTTTAAAATCTACGGCTCCGAAAACAAATAAATAGATCCTGATATGAACGAAATCCGAAAAACTCAAATAAGTCAAAACGCAGTGTCTTAATCTCAAAATGGAGATTGTTTTAGAAAAATCAAGTCTTTAAAAACATTATAAAACTGTATATGAAAATTTTAAATATATTTATATGTGTAACGGGATCTTAGTTCCTATATTATTTTTTTTTTTTAAATTTCTTTATTGAGTATTATAACAATCTGTCTGTTGGACATTGGTTATAGTGAGGTAGGATGACATTCACACCATATGTACAAAAAAATAAAATAAATAGAACAAAATAATAATCAAAAGTATATACAATAGACAATAAAATAAAATAACCTAAAAAAGTAAGAAAATTAAAACTAAGAAAAAAAAACAAAAAAAAAAAACACATGCATACCTATATACAATCAGGCGAGGGAACTCCAGGAGAACCCTGCGCTACTCTCCCAACCGCGTCACTGGTACTAAAGCCAGCATAGATTGATCGAGAGCAGTTTAGCCACATACACACATGTCTTGAGTGAAGAATCTGGCCATTGCCAGAACTCCAATTTATACAATCTACAAAAAGTCGCGAGGCCACTGCCGTTTCAACCTTCTTGGAGGATTATAGGGATGGGAGATGCTTGATAGGGATTGTGCAAGAGGATTTGGGTGGTAAGTAAGGTTCTGGTGAAATTTGGAGAATTTTTCTGGGATAAGGTCTAGGACAAATGGGATGTTAAGGTCATGATGTAGGGTTTTGTTGGATACATAGAAAGGAGCATCGACTATTGTTCGAAGGACTTTAGACTGGAAGGATTGGATGCGCTTGATGTTAGAAAATTTTGCTGATCCCCACAGTTCTAGTCCGTAATTCCAAATAGGTTTCAGTATTTTCTTGTAGATCAGTAGCTTGTTTTCACAATTGAGGGAATTGTCGCGAGAAGAGAGGGAGGATAGATAGGAGTTGAAGGATTGTGATCTGAAGGTGGCTAATTCCAGTTTTAATTGTTTGCAGTAGTAATTATAGGAGCAGCGGTCGGTAGGATGTCGGGTACGTTTCCATAATAATCTGGCACGGCGTTTGGTGCGGATTAGGTTAAGGAGGTGTTGGGGTAGAATGGTCTTTATAGGAATTCTGGAGGAGTCTTTTGGGAAGGAGGCAGACCAGGCGGCTTGTTGGATTGTGGTAGTAAAGGAATTTACGGCACTATCAAGGTCATCGGGAGTTTTGAGGGATATGTTGAGATCAATATTATCGGAGATTATTTGGCGGAAAAGGTCCCAGTTTACTGGGCCCCTAATGAATGACGGTGGAGAAGGTTTGGGAAAAGGTTCAAGTGAAACATTAAGGATTAGAGGACTATGGTCAGAGGAAAGTTCATTTAGACGTGTAATGGAACAATTGAGGGGACTTAAGCCGCTGTGGATAAAGAAATCAAGAAGATCAGGATTACGGTTGGGATCTGTGGGCCAATAGGTAGGAGAGTTGGGGGAAACGAGGTGAAAACGTTGGGAATTGAGTGCAGACAGCAGGGTTCGGCCACGAGAATTCGTGGTTCTGGAACCCCATTGTTGGTGCTTGGCATTTAGGTCTGCACCCAAGATGAAGTGATGTCCTAAGGAGTCGAGGAGAGAACTGAATTGGGCATTGGATATGGATCGGTTAGGAGGGCAATACGCTGATGCAAGAGTAACCGGAAAGGAGAAGGTTTTTATCACGATAGCGGTGGACTGTAGGAAATCATGTATTGGTAATGGGAGTACGTGATGGGAGAGGGATTGGTGTACAATTACAGCAGTACCGGCATGTGCTTTTCCGTCAGGGTGGTCAGTACGATATGTCAGGTATTGTGGTATATTGAAGTGCTGTTTAGTGGTTAGTCGAGTTTCAGTAATTAGTGCCACATCCATGTTCTTGTCAAGTAGTAAAGTAGATAGTTCGTCTGTATGATTTCTAACACCATTCGCATTCCAAAGGAGAATGGATATGGGTTTAGGGATGTGAGTCATTTAAGGATTTTTCAAAAGAGGGATGAGGTGAGATACGAGATTCGTGAGGAGTGATATGAGTGGAGTAACAAGGGATTTGAAATCGGTGAGGAAAGATGCTAACAAACTTGTGAGATCTGTTGCATTTGAAGGAGGAGGAATATGAGGAATTTGTTGTTGGTGGTTAGGTATATTAGGATGAAGAGGATTTTGAGGTTGGGGTTGAGGTTGTTGTTGTGGCAGGGCTTGACATTTATCGGTTAAAGTCTTACCTCTAAGTAGTTGGGAGAATGATACATCATTGTTTACAATTCTGGAAGGCTCTCTCTCTCTTCTTGTTCTTAGTGCTTCATCTTGAATCCGGTTTTTCTGGTGTCTGGTTTTGAGATTCTTGTAAATTTGGCAGCCTTTGTAGTTGGCCGGGTGTCCCTCCAAGCATAGGGCACATACTGCTGGATCTTGTATAGGTTTGGTGCACTCTACAGATTTGTGCTGTTCACCGCACTTCACGCAACGCGGCAGATGGTGGCAATATGTCTTAGTGTGGCCATAGGTCTGACAATTATGGCACTGCACGATGTCTCTCTTGGGTATGGCTTCTCAACTTTCACCATTGTGTAGTATATTCTTGTGATATCATATATTTTTTCGATACCTGGTGATGGCTCCAAGTCCACGAAAAACAATGGTAGTGGGATCCTATTTCGTAATCCTGGCTGCTCCCTGTCCTCCTTCAAAACGTTTGTTACCTGGCGTACATTGAAACCAAGCGTCGTTAGTTCTTCTTTAATAACTTCAGTGGGGGTTGAGGAGTGTAAATTTCTTATCACTACTCGTAAAGCTCTTTCCTTCCTCAGCTGGTAAGTGTGAAAATTCACATTTGTTTCTGATAAGTACTTCACTATTTTTCGGTAGGCTTCTGCAGAATCAGGTGTTATTTTGGTGTCATTGGTCCTGTTAAGGCATGAATAACTGCCAGAGCAGATTTTATTTAGTTGGGTGCAGAACATCTGGAAATTTTTTATATTTTTCACAAATATCGGAGGAGGCTTTGGTTCTCTGGGTATTGCTGCAGACTCCATTACTTCTCTGCCATTTTGAAGCACTTGGTAGGGGTTTGGAGTAAAGAAAGGTGATTCTTCAATCGTTTCTTGTGCAGACGTACCTGGTTGGGGCTGAGGTTCTGGTTCTGAAGTGTTCGTTTTGGTCACTGGAGGTATTTCTCGTAGGCAGCGACGAGTGCTTTGTTTGGCTGGTGAGCTAACTCCGTCTGACCGAGACCTCTTAGGCACCTTACTGGCCATCATACCGCATATCATAAGAGAAAAAAAAATAAATAAAAAAAAAAATTTTTTTTTTTTTTTCTTAAAATAACAAAAAAAAAGATGCCAACAGTAAATATCAACTGCTCTGATATACACTTTAACTGTATCACGTGAATAATCAGAGAGATTCCGCTATAAAATTGGTAAAAACTGAGAGAGGAGTTGAGGAGACAACCTTCGCATCTGCTGATCCACTGCCTTTTTTTCGCCTATATTATTTAAAAAAGAATTCCGAAATTTGTTATTAATAGTGAGTTAAACAATTCAAAGTCTATATTTAACAATGATGTAGAGATGGTTGACCGTGATATAATATGAGAAGGAGTTGATCGGAGGGTGCGGTAAAATAAATACTAAATTATACAAATAGTATTATTTATTTTTTTCCCGACGTTTCGACCCCCTTTGCAGGTCTTCATCAGGGCTACAAAATGTACAAAACAAGTGAAAATAAAATAAATGAATATAAGTAGATATAAAATAAGAAGAAGTTGTCTGATGAAGAAATAAAAAGATGATATCAGAGATATAGTGGGTGACAATGTAGTTAAAATATCAGGTATTATATATACAGAAGATATAAACAAAAATGGAAAAGAAGTATGAAAACAAATAGAAAACAAAGGATAA